GGGGGGGGGGATGGGTGTGGTGTGGGATAGCGGATTCAATGGGTTCTGCAATACCGAATCTGTGTCATTTAAATAGACTTTAGCACGTAAATATATTCATAATAACGTACGGAGTAGGGCGGCCGGGGGGGGGGGGTGGGGCGAAGAATATGGCACTTCAAATTCGTTTTTCCGGAGCTAACATGGCCATACATGTTGGGTTGAGTTCAGTGAGTGTTTAGCGCCCGGGGACAAGATTCGCGCCAGGGGACAAGTTCGATTTTATAGCGCCCATTTTTCTTTTTTTCAACTCCCAAACCCATTATTTTCAGCAATAAAATAATATCAAAGCACATTTTGGCGCCCCTAACTAGCTGGGGCCCGGGGACATCTGTCCCCCCCCTTGCCCTCCCCACGCTAAGCCTCTGGTTCAGTTCGTATAGTGCGCATATTCGGAATCATTATCTGTAGTCTTAAGTCTTGGAGAGAGAGTATCCGATTGGTTCATTTGAAGCACACATTTGAGTTTTAAATTTGAGTGCATTTGAGGTACTTGTCAAATGTTTTCATACAAATACAAATAAATATTTTGATTTTCGACATCAATTTATTGCACGAAAACGCCGCGCAAAAAAAAGGGGATTTTTTTTTTTTTTTTGAGATCCCCCAAGTTGACTTCATAAGAATATTAATTGGCATGGATTCGAAGGTAAGGCGTCCAAATTAATTTAAATGACCTGGGCTTCTCTCAATCTCTATAATACAAATAAATATTTTGATTTTCGACATCAATTTATTGCACGAAAACGCCGCGCAAAAAAAAGGGGATTTTTTTTTTTTTTTTGAGATCCCCCAAGTTGACTTCATAAGAATATCAATCGGCATGGATTCGAAGGTAAGGCGTCACAATTAATTTAAATGACCTGGGCTTCTCTCAATCTCTAAACAGTCCGGAGAATATAATGCACATTTTTTTTTTTTACGATGAAAGAAGTTGCCTTGTCTAATTATTGTTATTCTACTCAGCCTATTCCATTGATGCAACACCCTGTTTGTGGACGTTCCTTTGACGCTGCATAAGACCCAGGTGGCTTCTACTAAGTAAGACCCATTTCTGAGGTCCTCAAGAAGATTCCCTTTGGATGCTCCTCAATAAGACCCAGTTGAACTCTTCTATAGTAAAAAAAAAGATCCAGTAATATGCTACTATATTATGCTATTAAATAAAACCCAGTTGTTTGCAGTGACTTATGACCCAGTTGTTTGTTGTTACATATGACCCAGTTATTTGCTGTTACGTATGACCCAGTTCTTTGTTGTTACATATGACCCAGGTATTTGCTGTTACATATGACCCAGTTGTTTGCTGTGCCTTATGACCCAGTTATTTGTTGTTACATAAGAGCCCAGTGTTTGCGTACGTTGACTAAATGTAAAGTTGATGCCCTCCAACAACCAAATCAAGAATTTTATTAACACTACAGCAAGTATATGTCAGTGACGTCAGGAGTAGTTTCACAATCACCAAACACTCTGCATTCGAGGCTACATTCAGTTTATCATAAACAAACTACTTCAACAAAGGAGCATCCGGCTTTTTCATGTTTCCTGTCAACATTAAAGCGTTGATTCACTTAAGTGTATTGTTGAGTTTTAAAATATAGCGAACATCTATCTGTTATGTAGCCTACAGTTTCTCATGCTTGAAATTAACTATCCCTCTACCGATCATCTCACCCGTCACTCAAGCTATCGCTCTACCCTTCACACTACCCATCACTCTACCCATCTCCATACCTATCATTCTATCCATCACCCTACCCATCTCTCAACCTACTCATCACTCTACATATCACCCTACCCATCTCTCCAATCACCCTAACGATCTCTCTCCATTCACCCTACCCATCACTCTCGCCATTCACCCTACCCATCTCTCTCCAATCAACATATCCCATCTCTCTACCCACCACCACATCCATATCACTCCACATTTCACCCTGCCCATCACCTTACCAAACCCTACAGCGGTTTCTCCAATGTTCCCATCTAACGTTATTTCCTCGACCGAATTTCGCTATCAAGGAATACATGAATACAATTATGGAACAGGAAGAGAATAATCCTGTGTCACCATTTGTAATCTCAAACCTGTGCCGGATTTCCCCAAGACGCTAGTAGGAGGAGGTCCCAAGGTGGGTGGCTCATTTCACGCCTTCAGGTGTGTAGGAGCCGGTCCCAAGGTGGGTGGCCCATTTCAACCTTTAGGTGTGTAGGAGGCGGTCCCAAGGTGGGTGGCCCATTTTTACCTTTAGGTGTGTAGGAGGCGATCCCAAGGTGGGTGGTCTATTTCAACCTGTAGGTGTGTAGGAGGCGGTCCCAAGGTGGGTGGTCTATTTAAACCTTTAGGTGTGTAGGAGGCTGTCCCAAGGTGGGTGGTCTATTTCAACCTTTAGGTGTGTAGGAGGCTGTCCCAAGGTGGGTGGTCTATTTCAACCTTTAGGTGTGTAGGAGGCTGTCCCAAGGTGGGTGGTCTATTTCAACCTTTAGGTGTGTAGGAGGCTGTCCCAAGGTGGGTGGTCTATTTCAACCTTTAGGTGTGTAGGAGGCTGTCCCAAGGTGGGTGGTCTATTTCAACCTTTAGGTGTGTAGGAGGCTGTCCCAAGGTGGGTGGTCTATTTCAACCTTTAGGTGTGTAGGAGGCTGTCCCAAGGTGGGTGGTCTATTTCAACCTTTAGGTGTGTAGGAGGCTGTCCCAAGGTGGGTGGTCTATTTCAACCTTTAGGTGTGTAGGAGGCTGTCCCAAGGTGGGTGGTCTATTTCAACCTTTAGGTGTGTAGGAGGCTGTCCCAAGGTGGGTGGTCTATTTAAACCTTTAGGTGTGTAGGAGGCGATCCCAAGGTGGGTGGTCTATTTCAACCTTTAGGTGTGTAGGAGGCGGTCCCAAGGTGGGTGGCCCATTTAAACCTTTAGGTGTGTAGGAGGCTGTCCCAAGGTGGGTGGACCATTTCAACCTTCAGGTGTGTAGGAGGCGATCCCAAGGTGGGTGGCCCATTTCAACCTTCAGGTGTGTAGGAGACGGTCCCATGGTGGGTGGCCCATTTCAACCTTCAGGATGGTAGGAGGCGGTCCAAAGGTGGGTGACCCATTTCAACCTTCAGGTGTGTAGGAGGCGGTCCCATGGTGGGTGGCCCATTTCACACCTTCAGGTGTGTAGAAGGCGGTCCCAAGGAGGGTGGTCCATTTCAACCTCCGGTATGTAGGAGTCGGTCCAAAGCTGGGTGGCCCATTTCAACCTTCAGGTGTGTAGGAGGCGGCCCCAAGGTGGTTGGCCCATTTCAACCTTCAGGAGTGTAGGAGGCGGTCCCAAGGTGGGTGGCCCATTTCAACCTTCAGGTGTGTAGGAGGCGGTCCCAAGGTGGGTGGCCCATTTCAACCTTCAGGTGTGTAGGAGGCGGTCCCAAGGTGGGTGGCCCATTTCAACCTTCAGGTGTGTAGGAGGCGGTCCCAAGGTGGGTGGCCCATTTCAACCTTCAGGTGTGTAGGAGGCGGTCCCAAGGTGGGTGGCCCATTTCAACCTTCAGGTGTGTAGGAGGCGGTCCCAAGGTGGGTGGCCCATTTCAACCTTCAGGTGTGTAGGAGGCGGTCCCAAGGTGGGTGGCCCATTTCAACCTTCAGGTGTGTAGGAGGCGGTCCCAAGGTGGGTGGCCCATTTCAACCTTCAGGTGTGTAGGAGGCGGTCCCAAGGTGGGTGGCCCATTTCAACCTTCAGGTGTGTAGGAGGCGGTCCCAAGGTGGGTGGCCCATTTCAACCTTCAGGTGTGTAGGAGGCGGTCCCAAGGTGGGTGGCCCATTTCAACCTTCAGGTGTGTAGGAGGCGGTCCCAAGGTGGGTGGCCCATTTCAACCTTCAGGTGTGTAGGAGGCGGTCCCAAGGTGGGTGGCCCATTTCAACCTTCAGGTGTGTAGGAGGCGGTCCCAAGGCGGGTGGCCCATTTCAACCTTCAGGTGTGTAGGAGGCGGTCCCAAGGTGGGTGGTCCATTTCAACCTTCAGGTGTGTAGGAGGCGGTCCCATGGTGGGTGGCCCATTTCACACCTTCAGGTGTGTAGGAGGCGGTCCCAAGAGGGTGGTCCATTTCTACCTTCAGGTGTGTAGGAGGCGATCCCAATGTGGGTGGCCCATTTCTACCTTCAGGTGTGTAGGAGGCGGTCCCAAGGTGGGTGGCCCATTTCAACCTTCAGGTATGTAGGAGGCGGTCCCAAGGTGGGTGGCCCATTTCAACCTTCAGGTGTGTAGGAGGCGGTCCCAAGGTGGGTGGCCCATTTCAACCTTCAACATTGTTTGTGTGCTTAGGGAAGGGGGGATTTTAAGCCTATTCCACAGAATGTTTTTACAAAATAACCCAAGCATATAACATTTTAAACAAGAAATTCAAATTATAGGCCTTAAAGTATTGCTCTAAGGTTGGTAGGCTTAACTACGTCAGAAAGTCAATACTCTGTAGGCGTTCTAATTGAAAATTACCTCGTCAAAAAGCAAAACCGCCCTTTACCCACACACCTTTAAACAATCACAAAAACACCAACCCCTGTGAAATGAAACAATTCATTAACACAACATTTTTCAATTCTGGTTTAAAGAATGACAACCTCTTTGAAACCAGAAAAAAATTATTTCTGCACTAACCCTGAAATATTTATATGTATCTATCTATCTATCAATATATGTATATTAAATGAAGGCAATCTTTCAATTAATTTAGAAATATATATTTTGAAAAAAAAGGAGAATGAAGTCTCAACCAAGGAAGCTATTAAAATGTTAATATAACAAGCAACCAATTGTTTAGTTTTTACATGACTCATATTTTATTAGCTAAAAGAAATATCAAAGAAAAGACTTGGTATCAATGTAGATTTTTTTAAAGGCAGCATATGCATACAATAAATAAAGTTATGACATTTTTTAAAAAAAGCATTTGTGACAAAACAAAATCTTTATTAGTAAGCATAATTCATTAAGCAAAAAATTTAACAATAAAATATATCTTTCAAAATTATATAACAAACTGGCAGACTTTGGTGTAAGGCAGACTTGGGAGTAAGGCAGAATATGCGGGGGGGGGGGGGGGGGAGCCATCTGCCATCCCTGTTAAGGGGGGGGGGGGGGGGGGAGACTTCTTTCAAGCCTGTTCAAGGGTGTGAAGCAAATAAATAGTGGAACAAGATATGTTTAGGCATGGGGTAGAATCAGTCAGGCGAGTGGAGTGATCTTCATCAGATCAACATTAAATCATTTTATTGACATTATCTTCATTCCTGTTTAAAGAGAACTGAAAATATCTTCTTCAATCAATCACTGCTAATCTCCTATACATAAATATTAGTTTATTTAAGAATGTAATCAATTAGTAGTTACCTGAAGGGTGAGGTTCATCCTGTGTCAGACCTGCTTACCCTCAAACTCTTAAAAATCGTACAATATCATCACAAAATCGTTCAATACGTTATCTTAATACATAATAAAAAAAATAAACATACAAAAAATATATAAAATGTATACACCTCAAAATCGTAAATTGTACGACAAAACCATAAGAGTAAACACGTCTGCTATGTTGAAAAGATGCTTGATAAAACCACATTGTGATCTGAGAATACTGAAGTTTTTCAATGTAAAAAAAAAAAAAAAAAAAAAAAAAAAAAAAAAAAAAAAAAAAATATAATAATAAAAAAAAAAAAAAAAAAAAAATTTTTTTCTTGTTTGCATTGGCTGATGAAGAAGGCATTTAGCCAAAATTTCACTGTCCTGCCTTTTTTTTTTTTGCAAGTCAAAACATATCTTGTTCCACTAATTATTTATTAAGGCACACTTTGTAGTTACTGCCTGAAAGAACAGCTTCATAATCAGAAAAGTTGCAAGCAATCACATGTGACCTGTTCTCACAGACACATAGATACGAGTTTAGGAGGAGTTTTATATATGGTTTAAAAGGGCTTGGGCAGGCTTTCATTTGATACACAACTGAATACTACTAAGCTACATTCTTAACTTTTCTGTGAGACTTTGAAGTGGTCAGCTGTAAAAAATCATCAGAGTTTTGAGGAAAAGTTTTTTTAAAAGTTTTAGCATTGTATCACGCAGAAGTCCACAGCAACCTTAATCATATTTTGAATACCTATGCATTGCTGGAAACGGCATTGGATTCCCTTTTCTGTGACATCAACAATAATTAAAAAAACTGCAATTGTTTTATTAAGGTGAAGCAATTTTTTAAATAAACAAGCTATTTTGGACATCAAATAGATAGCGCTTATGTCCCTTTAGTTGCTTCCACCAATCACAGATAGCATATTGGTAGAGCTAGGTTTTATAACCAAGGCTAAACTTAAATTAGGACTTTCATTGGTTTATAAAATACATTGTGGTAATCGAACAGAAGAAGGGCTTCCAGCCTTTTGATCAATGTATAACATGTGTATAACATGATAGAGCAATGTGTAAGGCATTAAACTAAGGTACGCTTTAATAAACTGTATAACTATTGGGAACATGAGTAGGCATTTCAACACATGGTCATTTAATTTATTATTTTAAAAAATAGCGCTATAATATGATATAACATTGTATAATTTATCTATTTCAAAAATAATATAATTTTCACCCAGCTGGAACCCCACTACATAAAAATTGCTCCAGTGACTTATCTGTCCTTTTGTCAGAATGGGTCGCATATGTCCAAAAGCAAATTACAAAAACTGACCAAAAATTAGTGTGGGTAAAAATGTATTAATTGAACTGAATTATCAAATAAACTAAATGGAAAGAACTTTCTTTATCTTGATGGGAGATTCAGTTTGAAATAAATATCATTAAGTTTAAAATCTAAAATGTTTAAACATTTAGTGTAATACACACATGGAACATAACAAGCTAACATTACTAGATTTGTAGATATAAAAAAAGAGACTGAAATTACAAAATTTTGTTTCATAATAAAAAGCGGAATGATTTTTAAATAAAGCTTTGGGTAAGTGAAAGGGGTAAAACAAATCTGTTAATAAATAATACAATTTTGTATGATAAACAAATAATTTGTAAGGCAGTGCATAACTGATTCTTCAATTCCTTTAGTGTTGGCCTTTATGAATTTTACCGCAAAAAAAAATGATGTATGGGTATTTTCATCTTGAAGTCTTAAGTGTATCTTAAAAAAAAAGTCGATAGATGGAATGGTAGATGTTTCAACAGGCTCCGAGATCCAAACAAATGTTTTTTTTTTTAAATGACAAATTTGTTTCCAAAGAACTTCCTTTGTAGAATATTTATACTAAAAATATAATTCTGCCATCAAAATTACATTTCTCCTTTAACAATGAAAAAAACAATGAGAAACATGACCATGATCTTCTGATGCCTGACTGTGTACTCTAAAACAAAAACTGTCCAAAAAGCATAAAAAATTATCTAAGGCCTGACAAGGGACACCACTTTAGGGGGATAAAGTCCAAGAGATGAACTTCAGAGAGTAGTTGTAGCCGTACCAATCCTTCCAGAAAATTCCATCATACATGGAGCCTCCTGGCGTGTACCATCCACCGTTGTAATAGATGCCAGTGGGCAGGGTGTATGCGCAGAAGTTGTACCACCAGCCTGCCTTCATGTTTGCTGCACAGCCTGGAAAAATTTACAACTGCACATTTTACTCTTCATTTTTGTCTATTTATTTCTTCATTTGACATATATTGTTTCATTATACTGTGATAGCCAATTTTTAAAAGGATGGCTGCTTTCTTCCAACTTAGGTGGCTGAGGTTTTCTATTCTCAGGGTTTGCTTACTATCCCAGAATTGCACCATTGGCGTGAATGACCACTGACAAATATCAAGCAATAACCAGTGTCTTGAAATGTAGACAACTCTGTCATTATAGGAGCATTAGGGAGAGTGAATTAAGCAGTGTTGAAGTGACTTTTATGGGTGTGGACATGACCATCTTATTTAATGTCACGGCAAGTCATTTTATCTACAATATTATGTACCTTGTTTTTTAGAACGCGAAAGATCTTCTTTAATAAATAGCATTGTTGATCTCCTCTATTTCAATATTAGTTGCTTTTTTTTTCTTTTATGGAATACATTAAAAATAATTTTAGATATGAATTAGTTACCATAAGGGTCAGGTGCATCGTAAGTTGAAAATGGCATGTTGTTATGGTAGGTCAATTCATCAGGTAATGACCCTATAAAAAAAAAATAATTTAGACATATTTGGTGTCATAGTTTGTTAACATAGTAATTAAATATTTATTTAACTTTATTGAGCTTGGTTTCTAAAAACTTTCTACCAAATACCAACTTAGAAAGAAAAAAATTGTCATTCACTATGAAATTTAGAGAGAGACAGACGATAAGAACTAGAATAAATAGAGTTAACAATACCTTTATACTAAGAATAATGCATCAACTAAATTATGTCTTTCTTGGTACAAGAATAGCTGTCCATTCACAATTCACTTTGAAATTTTGATCAAATATTGTAAATATAGGTCAACTGAAGATCATTTACAAAATATAAATGATGAGCATTCTCCAAAATAAATAAAATTGTTAGTAAATCAAAGCTGTCTATAAAATGAGGAGTTCAGTAAAAAAAAAAAAAAAAAAAAAAAAAAAAAAAAAAAACATTAAAAAGGTTGAAATCTTGCACCATGCAGAAGTCAAAGCTCATGTCAATGATTGTCAGGCAGAATTCAAAGCTCATGTCTTGATTGTCAGGCAGAATTCAAAGCTCATGACAATGATTGTCAGGTAGAATTCAAAGCTCATGTCAGTGATTGTCAAAGGTGTTAGGAGCAGATGATCTCACCTCTGTAGGCTCCCACATGAAGCCTGTACCGAGTGTCTCTGTTCTCTAAATACACTCCACTGTAAACAGCATTCTGGTTGTTTCCTGCCCAATCCTGCATGTTGATTTGTAACTTATTGTTGCCTGTGACACAAGCAAAAACAATGTGCACTTTCTCACCTTATATGTTTAGATTAAACCCCTCCCTCCCCCCTTAATCAATATTCAATTATAGATTTTTAAAAGTTTTAAGATAATGTAGCCATTTCCATTTAGCATAAATATCCTTTGCAGAAGAAATGATGCCGCACTATAATATTTTTGAAAGAGCCGCAAGACATAGACAAAATATCAGACTGACCTGCTGCAGTCAAAGCATATATTTGTGCCAGACCACCCCAAAAATTGTCCTGAGGATGACCAAACCCTGCCTCGTAATAGGCCCATGGCTGTATGAATGACAAGGAGTTGCTCAAACGACGAAGAATAACAGTAAAGGCGGTGTTGTCACGGAATTCACAAGGCATCTGTTAGGTGAAACGTGAGCTTGAATCAATACAGATAGGCAAGAGGTAGATGGTGTTTAAGATGCTAGTTCAAACAGTAAGTAAACATTAACAATGAAACATTGCATGCACCTGTAGACCAATGATGTGACTAACTGTTAGCCATCAATAATAACTTACCAAATGATCGGCATCATTTAGATGTAATCTGTATACTCCAGAGATGTTGTAGCCCGCTTTCAATAATGAGCTGCAGTCTAGGAGAAAACAATAATTTTAAAAAAATTTTAATAGAATATTTCATTTAGTTTGGTATAATGGCAGCAGCTAAGGTGAAAATTGCAAGGCAAACATTTGTAATTAGTTTAAGGCTTGGTATTCCAATGTCAAAGAAGAGTTATATTTTGTAACTTTCTTCTGGCAGTAAATAAAGCAGCTTTGAATATGGCAACAGATAAATTAAAAACATCTGTTAGTTTTAGTAAAATAAATACAAGGTAAACCTTAAAGCTCTTAGTTTTTTAATGTAGTTGATGATCGAATTTGATTTTTATTAATGAACTTAAGATTTTTGATTTGCAGATTTATTGAAGGGAATTCAGGAAAAGTTTACAGAGTAAATGTTTAATTTTTAATTAGCTGGCTACAAATTTTTAAATCAACTATTGCATTGTTTAAAAAAAACAACCCTTTATAGTTTCTTTTGGCATCCTATATTAACTATATAAATATCATCCATTTATATGTCAGGATAAATCATATCAATGTGTTGTTTTTTTTAAGTGTGTTTTGGTCAGCAAAAGTGGGCTATATCATTCAAATTATGTGAAAGAGGGTTGGAACAATAGTTTTATATTTATATATTTATGAAGGTCAGCATTGCAATAGTTTCAGTGTTAGGATTGAATAAGTATACAGTTCTTTAAAATACAAATCAGTAAATATTGGCCACAAGTTTGGAAGTTGCTATATTGAGCGACTGTTAAATGCTCAATAGTAGGTTTCATAAATGCCAATTCAAGCTATTTCTAGAACAAACTAGTTGGAAATAATGGGAGAAAATGATTGTTAGATAGAAGAGTAAGTGATAGATAGTAGAAATAGTAAATGGTTTCTAATTAAAGGGTGAAAAAATCTCCTGAAAAAACCAATCATATAGCTGTTGCTAGAAAGCAAGGATACAACCTCACTAGACAGCAAGGATACAACCTCACTACTAGACAGCAAGGGTAACCTCACTAGACAGCAAGGGTAACTTCACTAGGCAGCAAGGGTAACCTCACTTGTTCATAGCATGGATAAAAAATCAGCTCTCTACTTATTAATCACCTAAAAATTATTTCTTGTAGTAGGGATGAGTGGCCCAGCTATGCCTACCTTTATGCTGTACCTTGTCAAAATCGTTGAGGACTTTGATTTTTTCCTTCCCACTGATGAATGATACACAGCAGAAAAACAACAAAATTGTAATTGTAACTAGTCTGTCCATGTTCAAAAATGACTCATCTGGTGAAGAAAATGGTTTGTTAAGCAAAAGGTTATATAAATATCCGAAATAATAGTTTAAAAAATATTCATTTGAAAAATACAAAATTGTATTAAATAATATAACATTAACATGGCTATTGCTATGATCAGGGCCATATAGAGAAAAGCAGTGACTTCGCTGAAGCCTGAAAATAGTGCCCCACTCCCGATCAATAAATAATAAAAATAATATAGGAATTATATATAATGCTTTTAGATGCTTTTGACTGAAATTACCCCCTCCCCCTACCCCACTTTCCGCTAAGATTGCATATTTAAAATATATACAGTGGATAATTTACAATTTTGGTTCCTGTGGCAGACCACCACCTTTCCTCCGCTTATAATTATATGATATGCTTATATATATGGAGGCTGGCACCTGGGCAGGCACCCCTTCACCCCAACCCAACAGTTTGTATGACCTTGCCTATCGCCTATGCCCTATGCTTCATGTTATCAATGACAATGTCTTTCCTGGATCTTCAATCTTCTATCTTCATTCAAGCTGTATAAGTATAGTATAGTATAATGTATATAATATATTATTACTATTACTACTATTATAATTATAAAGTTTATAAAGTGAATAAGTATAAGTATAAGTGAACATTATAATTTTACTATTTTTACACAGTACACAGACTTTAATTTTAAAATTAGCCTAAAATTTAGTAAAATACTAACACTAACATCTTTTTTGAGTAACTGATGCTGATTAAGTCATCATTTCTTAAAATATATTTATTTGAGTTTGAGAGATTGAGAGAGAAAGGAAAGTGGTTAGTATAGTCTAGTAGCTTAACCACTGCCATTAGACTTAGTATCAGTACAGTTACAATACAATTACAATACTAAATACTAGTTAGTGTTTTTATTATAAATATCAAACAAGGCCTCAGCAAGTGTAATTTCTGGAACTATCATTAAAATTAAGTCACCAAGTGATAATAATTTAGATAAGCCTAGTTAACAAGTTTGAGTAGTTCTAAAGTCTAAAGGACCGATAATGATACAAAACAAAGACTAATACTAATTTAACTAATACTTTAATAATATTTAGTAATATTTATAATTTAGTTATAAGTAAGATATAAATAATAAAAATAAAAGAAAGTTTCCATACGGGTGCCCTCTTCTTTTCTTTTTACTCTTTACTTTAATGTCTTTATTTTCTGTTTATTTGAGTCTATGTTTGTTGGTTGTTGCGAAGTCACTGAAACTAATAAGTTTATTTCATTGCGGGGTACGGGTAGACACCACAACAATTAACCAATATTGCTTTTAAGATAAGATAAGAACTAAAACTATCTCGAGACAGCAAAGGCAAAGGTCACAATTTCATTTGAAGAATGGAATAGTCTAACTCAGTGAATTGAAAAGTGTGCATTTAATAAATGATTTATTTCTAAATTATTAAGAGCCAAATTATAAATTCATTATTATTATTTATTTTTTTACCAAGAATAACATTAATAAGAGTAGACAACGTTTTTATAAAATTTATAAAAATCAATAAAAATTTATTTGTTTTTATTTATTTTTTAATTTTTTGAAAAGAAAATGAGAATAATAATAATAATTACAAGAAAAACAAAAAATACAGATTCGAATTTTTATAATTAATTACAACACAACTGTAAAAGTTCGATACAACATTATTGACTTATCACTCAGGTCAAGGACAAGTGTTCATGTTTTCTGAATAGTCGTTTTGTTTGAAAATACAATGGCCTTACCTATTTATTATTAAATCCGCAGAAAAGCACTTTACAACTGTAAGGGCATCAAAATAAACCTGAACTTTAGGTAGAACTCTCCTGCCGAGTGACTGACATGAAAGTATTGAAAGCACTAAGTATTAATATTTAAGCTCGCTTATATATATTAAGATTAAGAAATATTAGGGAATCCCGTATTCTAAAAATAAACACATTTTGTTGTGTCACAGGTCACAAGGATATGAGTTGACTTTGTAAGACTACATTTACAGACCCTCGAGCAAGGCAAGAAACCCCCAAACATTTGCTTTTAACTTATGGGGTTTATAATTTTTTTTTTTTACGAATGCCTATTAATTTTTTATATTTTTAAAAAAAATATTGTGATCTTGAATTCTTAAATTTAGGAAAATAAGATTTTAAATGCGGAGCGGAAAATTTGGGGGAATGGTGGGGTCGGGGTTGCGTGGAGTTTAGGGGGTGCGAGGAAACAAATTAATGTGGGCCGGACCGGAGGTGACACCAAATAGAAATATTAAAATTTGACGTCACATTGCTCGCTCGGGTCAGTTTCATAAAAGACCTGAGTTTACATAAAAGAGCAGGCTGCCACTGGAACAGGTTGTCACAAAAGCCGGGCGCCACCTCATCATTTGGTTCGTTATCTATAAGACCAGTGGCGTTACTTGAGGTTGTGACGCCCGGAGTGAGTCAGTATTTAGCTGCATCCACTCAACACACGCACACAGAAACACACACTAACAAACAGTGGGTGCAGAACACATCGGACAAACAAAAAAACAGTGGGTGCAGAGCACTTCGGACAAACAAACAGTGAGTGCAGAGCAAATCGGACAAACGAACAAACAGTGGGTGCTTCGGACAATAAACACTATGTGCCGAACACATCGGACAAACAAACAAACAGTGGGTGCAGAGCACATCGGACAAACAAACAGTGGGTGCAGTACATATCGGACAAACAAGCAAACAGTGGGTGCAGAACACGTCGGACAAACAAACAAACAGTGGGTGCAGAGCACTTCGGACAAACAAACAGTGGGTGCAGTACATATCGGACAAACAAGAAAACAGTGGGTGCAGAACACGTCGGACAAACAAACAAACAGTGGGTGCAGAGCACTTCGGACAAACAAACAAACAGTGGGTGCAGAATACATCGAACAGACAATCAAACAGGATGTGCAGATTCGTAGTTAAAATACAAGTGCAGATTCGAGAAGGTTCCACATCAGATCGCAGTTAAACGTGCAGATTCCCACCAGACCAGCTGGCAACAAGGCAGGTGGATTCGGAGGTAGACTCGGAGAGGGACTCGGAGGTAGACTCAGGGGTAGACTCAGTGATAGACCTCAGAGGTAGACACGGAGGTAGACTCGGAGGAGGCCCCTGTATAGGTCTGGAGGGAATTACACCACGAGCTACTGCATTGGATGCCACCATGGCCAGCGAAGAGAGTGGAAGGTGGGGTATGCTAAAATCCTTTCATAATTTGACCCATTTCAATGACTGACCTAATCCCTCTATCTTTTCCGTGGATACATGAGCTATAACTATAACAAAACTTCCTTCTAGATTTGTATGAATAAATGTGTGGTTTTCTGTTAGCAAAATTTAGAATATACGAAATAGCCTGTTGCTTCCAATCCAAAGTAAATAGAGAAATAATTACAATTAACCTCATTGTATGGCCCATTAAGTTATTTCCCATTAAGAAGTGCACATTAATTAGTGCCCATACAGCCAAGTTTCATGAATATATATTAATTTTCGAGGTGAAGTTTTTACACAAATAATGTCAAATACCTTACATTTTGAATAAAGCACGGAAGAAAAAATGGAACATCTCTATAATTATTTTATCTTATTGGAGCCCCTTATACTTATAATATCTAGCATACTCTCCACAGTCGTAGAAGTAACTGAAATTCATGAGATTTGAGATATATCTCATATAAATATCAACCCAAAATTTTTCAAAGGGTGGGATGTTTAAAGAATAAAAGATGTTTGCAGCCCCTCCCCAAATTCTTTCAAAAATGAAAATTGCTAGTTTAGCATCGCTTTTTCGATTAGCAATAAAACTTATAAAAATTACATTTAATTTTATATAGGAAAAAAAAAACACTAATATATTTCTAAGCATGTTGAGGACAACGAGGTTCCCAAATTTTTCATTGCAACGCCTAAGGGAGCCGGGATATTTTGACGAGGCGCTGTTAAGTAACAAAATACTTCATTGAAAATTTAATTTTTTATTTTTTTTGTAGTGCACTTGTTATTATTTGAAACACCTGGATGCAGCAAGGGCACCGTGACTAGAAACCACTTGTCAGTTGCATCTTCGAATAGGATTTTCGTGGGGCTTGGGTGGGGGGCGTGGGAGGGGAGGATTAGTAAATAGTTTAATTGTAGCGATTATGTTAAACGACTCAGCACCAGTGGTGGACTGACTCACCGAGATACCGTGAAAATCCAGATCATACAATACTAAAACCGAGGCCAAAAATAATAAGTGGAGCCCTAAAGAAAGAATATAAACACTAGCGACGAGGGGTCGACATGGATGTGTTACAACGATAGGAAAGAGTTGGAGAAGATAGCCAGAAGGCCTGGAGGGAAACCAGTCCTACTGGAGTTCGGAAAGGCAATGAGGCAATAGGAGCGTAGTTAATTTAAATAACAGAGGGGAAAAGGGAAAGGACGTTACAAAAATATATACAAAACCAGGGATGGGGTTTGAAACATTGCAGTACATGGTGATCTATACTTTAATCTACTAACAAAATGAAATGCACACTTCAACTTAAGCTCGAGGATCTCTCACAGATAGCGCGGGCACTAGACCTACCGGATATGGGATCAGTCTGGGTAGCCTTTAGAGTTACCTGCCTTAATAACAAGAATTACACCAGCCAATTTTACTGCATTCATTAAATTATTCATTAATTAATTTTATCATTGCGCTAAAGGGTTTTGAAAGTGAACAAACTAGCCCAGTGGTTCTTAACCTTTTTGGAGGTACCGAACTCCACCAGTTTCATATGCGCATTCACCGAACCCTTCTTAATGGGAAAAATAAAATATGATTTTTATTTCTGATTTTCTTTGGACCTCCGCCGACCCCTGAGACTGAATCACCGAACCCCTGGGGTTCAATCGAACCCAGGTTAAGAACCACTGAACTAGCCACTGCCCCACTCCCCCCCCCCCCCCCCCCCCCCCCCCAGTCAAGTCAGTGCCGGATTTCCCATGTCACACAGGACAACAAGATATGAACGTTTCGGCATAGAGCCTACTTCATTGAATGGAAATACAACAAGAAACAGAGAACAGTAAAATTTAAATTCTTTTGTTGTCGCCGGAAGTTATCAATCATCATCTCCTTTTGGTGGGTGGGGAAGAGTTGTATGGGTTTGCAAGGAGTGTAAGCTCATAGTAAACACGCATGGGGTGTGGAACAAAGTATGAAACAGGCTGCTCATACTTGCTACGGGCGTTTCTAGGTAAGTTACATTTCTAGAAGTTCTGTTCTCCCGCTGTAGATAAGTCGGTTAAATTTGATTCAGACAGACGCGAGCGAGACTTGAATGAGACGTTAGCGAGACTTGAGGGAGACGTGAGCGAGTGATTATTTACTATTGTTGTGTGTGTGTGTGTGTGTGTGTGATAAACCTGTTACCTGTGTGGATTAATATTTTCATTGTGTGCGTGGATAGCCATTTCCACCTTTTATGACTAGGCATATTCAAGTGCTATTAGTGGCTATATATATTAACTCATTTCTACATATTATATTTTTTAGTTATTATATCAGAATTGTTGTGTATATAAATCCCTTATTTTAAACTTCATTTTTCTTAGTACTCTGGTTTCAGTGGCTTTGGTATCGTGTTCCTAGTTCACTGGGTTCAATCCCTTTTATTGTTCTTATCATGTATTTTCCTCCATGTTTCTCTCTCTCTCTCTCTCTCTCTCTCTCTCTCTTTCTCTCTTTCTCTCTGAATCCGTACCTATATATATATATAATAAGCTGCTAAACGACTTTAAAGAATAAGAAAACATAAAAATTTTGAGATAAATTAAATAAATATTTATTGAGAATAAAGATGTACAAGTTTAAAATAAGTACATATGATACTTCAGACAATATAAAGAAGTTGTAAATAAAGGGAAAAATTAATTTCAACAACATTATCACTGCCAATTGCCCTTGAAATGGCTGGTTCTTTCAAACTTTTACTATTCATAAGCCAATTAAGAGATATTTTACCATTGGAAAAGACGGCCTTCTAACCCATAAATCTAGATTTCAGTTAATCTTAGCTTTTCTTATATTTACCGTGATGTCAAATGTGTCAGCTCCAGAAGTGGATGAGACTCATGAACAAGGCTGCCAAGTGCGGCAACACCAGAAGTGGATGAGACTCATAGGCATACAATAATTTAGAATAACAGGTATAAAATAGTGTTGAATACTAGGTATAAAATAGTGTTGATTCTGGAGATGAAAGATGTTACTATAGACTGTAGATGATGAAAAAAGTTCGAAAGGCTGCCTGGTTTTGTTTAAACGTTTTAACTTCTTGACTGGTTGAATGACTCCAATTTAACGCTACGCGGTAAAGATATGTTTGTTTATTAACATTTTTTCAGAACTATTAGACTTACAGCCTGACAACATTCTCAAAGACAAATGCAAAGACTCGGAATTTACAAAATGATTTGCAAAGATAACAAGTCTCCAAAGATAAAACACTGTCTGTTTTATTTGGCTCATCTCACATGTGAGAATATAATTGTGTTGCAAAATATTTGGTGTATGTGAACAATATTGGAAGATTGATGATTATTCATAAATGAAAGATATTTGAAGTTTTATGATCTATTTTTTTAATTTAAAATGATAACACATTAAAAAGTTACAAGTTAAGTCCACAGGAAATTGAAGAAGGCATTTAAAGTATAAAAAAGTAATGTTTTGGTTTTTTTAAACCTAGCGGAAGGGGCCTGAAAAAAAAAAGGGGGGGGGGCGTTGGCACCTCATGTGAACTACAAAAACTCAATGAATGACACAGTACTAGATCTAAGTATTATAATTTATAACAGTGTTTCCTGTGGCAAAATTTCCACACTCTCCACATTATTTGCGTTGGTCGTGCTACTGGACCTCTCGCCGACTTTCAAAGTGTCAATGTTGTTGGCAGTAATGTTGGCAGTGACGTTGCCATTGATGATTCTGAAATAAAGGAGACCAATGATCAAAATCTTAAATATTTCAGTCAAAACGTGTTTAAATCCACAAAGATAGTGTTTCATTCATTGATTTTGCAGAAAAAAATATCATCTAGTTGAATTAACAGTCCCAGCAATCTTTAACTACACCCTCTGAATTTTACGAAAACTCATAAGCATGCGTTGGATTTGGATTTAAACTTAGAGACGTAATATTTTATACTTGGGGAGTAAGGTTTTATACTTAGGGACGTAAGGTTTTATACTTAGGGACATAAGGTTTTAAACTTAGAGAAGTAAGGTTTTATACTTAGGGACGTAAGGTAACATACTGATGTATGTTATGTTTTATACTTAGGGACGTAAGGTATATACTTAGGGCCATAAGGTTTTAAACTTAGGGACGTAAGGTTTTATACTTAGGGAGGTACCACTTTTATTATTTTTTAAAATTAATTTTAAAATGAAAATTCAGTTACTAACTGCTCCATAAATTAATTATTATTGTACACCCTTATACGTTATTTTAGGTTGACAGTCCTTTTTGTCGACTCTTGTATACATTTTATTTTGTGCCTGTCTGACTAATAAATCCATTTGCAAAACATTTTTTTTAAAAACATTACACATGTATATTTAGAAAAAGTGATTATGTTTGGCATAAGACACTACCAAAACTAAATATATGACTTACACTGTCGTGGTGTTGGGTACATTGATATTCAAGACTTTATCTTCATTACTACTGCTAAGCTGTCGTTTCAAACTGATGGAGAGACAATTTAATAAACTTATTTTCAAACTTAACACATTGAACTCCATACTGCAAGATCTATTAAAAAAATCATTATATTAAGTTAAATTATTTATGGGATTCTTATACAGTTCAACACTATAAAATGTGTTACTGTTGAATCGACAGTTAAAAGTTCTAGCAGCAGTGCAGAACTAGTCAGTTTGAAGAGCAGACATTTGCCAGATTAACCATATTATAGGTATAACCAAGTGCAATCAGTTGCACAGACTGAACCTGGCGTAATAGGTCTTTTTCAGTAATCGATATCAATAATTGAAAAAAAAAACAGGGGTCGGGTGATTAAAAGCTGGTCACGTGAACACGGTCCCTGATCCTCAAAGGGCGCTGGAACGGAGCGTAAGGCTTAGTTTTGAGCTTTTCGGTTGGGGCGCATTCATAGACATCGTGGGCCGCATGCAGCCCCCTTGAATTTGTTTTAAATAGTTGTTGCCAGAACAAGACTATATATATAGTTATACGCTTTTACAAGCAGCTGTGTTTGTTTTTAAAATAAGTCAGGACATAATAATAAAGAATGGTATATATCTAGCCTCGAGGACAACCTAATCATAGAGTAGAAGTGCATTGCAAACACGCTAGAAATAACCATATGCTATGTATTGATTCGGACAGGGATAAACAAGGATAAGGCATAACTAGATAAGGGTCTCTCTGTTTGCTTTGCACACGGCTAAAAAATTCTTTTTTTTTCACACACGTTCTCTTGCCCCAATAATAACATCTTGAAACCGTCAATGCATTTAGTCTTCATTTGTGTGTCTCAGTTATAATAGACATAAGCACTAAATTCACTGTTTTAATTTTACATTTTTTATAAATATTTGGGAACCTGAACGCAGTCCAATATTAACATTAACATGCAACGCTTTATCATTGTGGTCACAAGGTTTGGTGTCACCCATGCAGCTATGTAAATCAAAGTGCTAAAAAAAAAACCCACTCCCCCAACATACACATACACCTGCTGTTGTAACAAACAATGCATATTGACACAAATAAGTTAATGCAAAAAGATATGAATTTCTGTAAAGAATTTAAGGTCCCATTTTTTTCTGCCCCTAAATAAACCCCGCTGAAAAAGGGTTACATCCGCCCATGATGCTCCTAACATTCAGTCCAACTGGGACACAGTGAGCACTACTGAGTTAAATAAGACTTGCACAGTGAGCACTACTGAGTTAAATAAGATTTGCACAGTGAGCACTACTGAGTTAAATATGACTTGCCTTGATGCTTTCTGGTCCGAGAGACAGGACGATTCATCAGGTGGTATAGTAAATGTCTGGGCTGTTAGAGAAATACAACGATATAATGGATCTTTTAGTCTGGACAAAGGTGTACATTTAGAAAAAAAGCAAGAAAATTGAAATTTCAGAAATGAGAAACAATCAAGTTTCTAATATTTTAGTTTATTATAGAGCTGTTTCGGTGTCAATGTTATACATTTCAGGTGAAAATTGTGTTTTCTACAATAAATGTTAAAACATTTCTTACTTATATTATCAAAAAAAATAACGCCATTGTGACACATACCTCAAACAGTTAGTACTACTTGGTAGTCTTCTAAATATCAGCTTACTCTATGCATATTAACTATGTTTATCAGTTATTAAAGGAAGCCCGTGGGATTTTTCTGAATAAATCTAAATTGGCTAAAATGGCATTTATTTAACAGAAACTACATCGGAAATTGAGTGACGTGAAGTGAACTTAATATTTGAATTCTCTTATTCAAAACAAGTGACTTGAAGTGTCTCATAGTCAGTCACAGTTGATAAGAATACAATATTGAAAAAATTAGATTTTCCCCTTACCTTCCTTTCGTGCGCTAGACGTTCTGTTGCCCATCTGTTGAATGAGGTATTCCATGTGTTTTCTTCCAAGACCTTTGGAGAATCCCATTAATTCCATTTTCTCATCTTCTGAAATTTGAAGATTTTCTAAAAGAATCTTCAGTGCTTCCACACAGTTGCTTCTAATACTTAAATGAAATGCATTGTCTCCCGCTGTGTTCTTTTTCTTTACGTTCGCACCAGCATCAATCAGTATTTTGAGAACCCAAAAGCTTCCATGTTGAGCAGACAGCAGTAGTGGGGTATTGCCATCTTTATCTGTGCTATCCATCTTTACCTTTTAGTGGCAAGTAGTTTACTAAGATTATCGTTGTCCCCATACATGGCACTGAGGTGCAGGGCACTTGTGCCGGCATTAGAGGTGGCGTTGACGTTAGCACCAGCCTCAATCAATGTGGTAAGTGCACGTGTTTGATTGTATTCCGCGGCAAATAAAAGCGCTGTTTTACCTTCTTTGTCAGTCTCCTTTATTTTAGCCTTATTATTATTATGGTGGAACAGCAAGTGCTTTATAATTTCATCATGGCCATTTTTTGCCGCAAGCATCAGCGGAGTTAAGCCTTTGTTATTAGGTATATTCGGCTGAGCTCCATTTTCCAGAAGCACCCACACCGCATCTACTTGGCCATTTGCTGCAGAAATGTTTAAGGCGGTGTGGCCTGACACTTCAACTTCATCCAGTGGCACATTTTCTTGTAGTATCAATTTCATGCAATCTGTGAATCCATTCTGTGAACAGAGCATCAGCGGCGTCCAACCAACTTCTTCCTTGACACTGCAGTCAGCTTTACCTTTTATGAGTGATGAGGTGATAACCGCATCGCCTTGATGGGCAGCATACATCAGTGCTGTTTTCTTGTAGCTGTCCGAATGGTTGACATCAGCACCAGCTTCAATGAGAAGGTCTACGACTTTGGCATGTCTGCATATGGTAGCCATTATAAGTGCTGTAGATCCATTTGAATCTTCTTCATTGAGAGATGCTCCAGAATTTAAAAGCTCCGAGACCACATCGGCCTTGCCATGTCCAGCAGCAATAATTAAAGCTGTTACTCCTAAAGTGGATACTCTATTGGGGGATGAACCTTTTTTCAGCAGGTATTTAACTACTTCAGTGTGACCATTCCAAGATGACAACATCAGAGATGTCCATTTTTGTGAATCGGTTTGATCAACTTCTTGTTCTGAATTGAATAAAGTCTCAACGATTTCCAGGTGACCCATGTAAGATGCTTGCATGAAAGCTGAGAATCCGTTCAGGTTTGTTGAATTCTGTAATGCTCCTTTCTTCAACAGTAGTTTCACAATTTGCATATTTCCTGTGAATGATGCCACCATAAGTGGAGTTTCTCCGTTAAGATCAGACCGATTAACATCTGCTTCATTTGAAATCAATAATTGCACGATGTTAACGTGCCCAGCTCTGATGTTTGGAATCAAAGCAGTCTCACTATTCGCGTTTACTACATTGACATCTACTCCAGCGTCCAGAATATACTTGACTATATCAATATCGCCATTAAATGAAGCGAGATGCAGAAGGCAGAACTGCATGCCGCAAGACTGGGCGATATCCTCCAGCAGAGTTTTCGAATATGACAGTAACATCTTAACACTAGCTGTGTCCCTGTTTGCAACAGATGCAAGCAAACATTTGGTGTGTTCAAGGTCTACAGTCCTTGATTTTATCTTCCGTTTCAATAGCACTTCAGTTAAATTAAAATTTCTGTAAGCAGTTGCAACACTGAGCGGTGATTCCCCAAGATTATTAGTGACATTAGTATCTGCATTTTTTTCAGTAAAGTCTCAATAACATCTTCATCCTTTCCTAAAATAGCATAAAATAAAGCCGTGTCTCCTTTTTTGCATTTCACATTTATGGAGTGTGCGGCTCCCTTTTTCAATAGTTTTTTTTTAACAATTCGTGAATCCCCATTCAATGAGGCGAACATGAGGGCAGTTACCCCGAGTTTGTTAGGATTATTTATGTTTATATTTTCTTGCTTTATTAAAATAGATGAACTTTCAGTGCCTTTGTGAATTATTGAAATATGGAGAGCTGAATTCCCTTCAAGGTTAGTTTCATTCACATGAGCCTTCTCACCCACCAGCAACTTCACAAATTTCCAATGATTATTTCTAGCACTTCTCATAAGTGCTGACCAGCCATTTGCATCCTTCGAGTTCAATGAAATATGGTTTTCAAGTAGCACTTTAGCAATGTTAACCAAACTCTTCTCTGCAGCGATTTGAAGAGCGTCTACTCCATCAAAGGTGTGTATGTTGACGTCGACAGTTTTGGCGGCCAACAAAGCTCTCACAATATCCTCATTTCCACTTGACACCGCCCACAATAATGGACTCATGCGGCTTTTGTCTTGGACGTTTACATCTGCACCCTTCTCTATCAACCGAGACACAAAATCACAATTAGAAAATATACAAGAATACGCTAAAGCCGAGAAGCCATTTTTATCCTTCAAGTCCACTGTTGCTCCATGCTCTAAAAGTTTTGAACCAACAACTGCATTTCCAAATATAGCACAGTACATCAAGGCAGTGATGTCAAAGTACGGTTCTCTTTCCTCGAGGGACATATATTTTTCCTGAAATACTTTTAGGAAAATGTCTGGCTCGTCCACGATTGCTTTAAAACTCGATGTCTTCAATGCATCTTTCAGCTTTGCAGTATCCATCGTTTTGATTTGCACAGGACCTACAACTAAACTTCCTTGTTTCTGAAGACCTCCTTGTGAAGGTAAATTTACTCTTTGCACAACTGAGGCCAATACGCCATTGAGTAGCATATAATTCATTGTTATTCCTTGCAATCAAAGCCACTTATGCCTGGTGGAAAATGTAGTCAACTAAAATCAAAATTTAGCATGCAGCTAACAACAGATTTGAGAGAGACGATATTTAAAAATAATAATTTAAAGTATAATTTCACTAAAACGCAGAATTAATTGAAACACACACACACACACACACACACACAAACAGACAACATATTCAATTTAGCAATAATGTCCCTTAAAACACTCCACAAAACAATTAACACTTCCTCTTGTAACTTGTCTATGTTCATTAAAGAATTAAATTGAAATTGAAAGTAATATTAATATATGTCACGACCTGTTTAAAGTAAAGCAATCATTTCTCTGTAAGAAAAAAGAAAGATAGATATCTATCTCTATCTATATATATGTGTTTGTCGACTGAAATGTTTTGGCATTATTTTATTTAATTTATGTTTTAATTTTTATCCTATGCACGACAAATGACAGGTGAAAACGCAGTTTAAAATAGTTTTGAAATGTCACTTACCCTCTCAGGTAAGCAGAACTGAAGAGGTGAATAGGTATTTATTGATCGATAATGGAAATTCCCGAGTGATATTGGTGAAATATTGTATTCGTTTAAATGCTAGATTTTTGTTAAAATTAAAAACTATAATTCTTCTACTTTGACGTTTCTTTTCCCCTCTATTATTAATGAAAACACAAGCACATATTATTTGCTAAATGAGACCAATTTTTGTTGTTGTTTGTTTGTTGTTGTTTTTTTAAACGGCATGTGACAGGAGACGGAATTCTTAAAACTATAAATGTATTAATCAGTATTATGTAAATAAAATATGTTAGCTTCACTGACGAAGACATGAAGCCGAAACGGTATTTTTATTTTGCCATTAAACTAAAGCCTGTTTAAGTAAACTGTTATCTAACGAGAATTGTATTTGACATACATGAATACACAGCTCACCAGAAATTGACCATTCATCAAAAAGGGGAAAACAGGAAAATATAAATTCTTTAAGGAAAAAAAAAACAACAAAAAATGATTATATACATTCTTTACCAAAAAAATCAATAACAAATAGACGAAAAAAAAAGTGATGCATGTGAAATGAGTTTTCAAAAAGTAAAGTGTACTGTTGTTTGTGTCTCTGTAGAGATGATGTTGGAGGTGGGGTAGGTGTGGGTACGGGCTGATGAGTATCAGGTGTGTGTGATAATAAGTTGGCGCTTGTAAACTCACGGTGTTGCCCCCACCTCAAGACTAGCCCCTTATCAAAACTACCCCCATCTCAAGACTAGCCCCTTATCAAAACCACCCCCATCTCAAGACTAGCCCCTTATCAAAACTACCCCCATCTCAAGACTAGCCCCTTATCAAGACTACCCCCATCTCAAGACTAGCCCCTTATCAAAACTACCCCCATCTCAAGACTAGCCCCTTATCAAAACTACCCCCATCTCAAGACTAGCCCCTTATCAA